CCAAGGACAGCGCCGGGCGCGGACCTGGTGGCTCCCGGCGCCGCCCTGCCGGCGCGGCAGCCCTCGCCTCGGGAAGAGGGCAAGGGGCCGGCATCCCGGCCCGGAGGCGGGTGCACCTCCTTCAGCATCGAGAGTATCATTCAAGAGGTCCGAGGAGGGGGAACAGGGGCCGCGCAGAGCCTATCCCCGACCCCGTGGGGCTACTGTCACCTGCTGCAGCGGCCGTCGTGCCTGCTGCACACTCAGGCCGCTGCCCCCTCGCTCCACGTGTCCGCCGCCGCAGCGTCTGCTGCCAGGACAGTGTTGCAGCAGCAGCAGCACCAAGGCTGTCCCAGCAAAGGCGCGCTGCTGGGCCGGCACCTGTCCACCGCCGTGGCGCTGCTGGGGTACCAGCCTGGAGCAGAGGGCTGCAGGCCCAAGGCCGGCGGAGAGGGGGCCTCGCCGGCATTTTAAGTAGCACCCACTCCCTGCCCCGGCGCCAACTCCGCGGGGCAAACCTGGAGCCAAGCTTGAGGGCGGGGAGCCCTGGGCCCCTCTCGCGGCCGCCGGTCCTCGCGCACTCCACCTTGCACAGCCGGGACCAATTGTCAGCATTAGCATCCCTCCGCAAAGCAGCCACTAATTTCGGTTCGCTGCGCAATATTTACAAAGGAAAAGTTGGGTGCCGTTTCCTTCGACAGCCTCAACGGAAACTTCCCACGGAGTCAGGTCTCGCTTTTCCTTTTCCAGGCTGCACTCGTGGCTTCCAGGGCTTTTCTGATTTGCACATTTCCAGAGGAACTATGAACGTGAGTGGGGCATTTTGTTCTGGTGTGGAAAGGAAAACAAAGATACAATGTCCAATGCACAACATGTTTCCCCTTCACGCCCTAGGAACTGCAACTGTTATTCCCGAGTGCAGTACAAGGTGCTCATGCACTGTCTTCCTGAAGTCGATGCGTAATATAAGTAGAATTTTAATTTCAGAGCGTTTATTTCTGATCTGTGTGTCTGATGTGCCAACTTCCATGGAGAGGTGTTAAAATTAAACCTAGCTATGTAGACCAAATAAAGTGCTAAATCATTACACGACATCGTTTATTTTCTATTCCGATTATTTGCTTTCTAAATGGAACTTCCTTTAAAACTAGTTCTTTCCTCCCAATAAACCATTTATTTTTATAATTCTTATTCATTATAGACATCAGCAACAACCCATTTTCAAAATGGCTTTTAAAACTTCCGAATATTTGAAGTCGAAAAAGTCCCATCTTTTGAAATATGGGAGTAATATGTATAAAACCTACAGAGTAAAAGAATTGGAGGAAATGTAAATATAGTCTCCATTTATTTTTTTTTATCTTCCTAAAGATGTCGATTTTTCTCCTGAATAAGTTGGAGGACTATTTGAGATCAATTTGGAAGGTAATGGTGGTCAACGTTTATTTGGGGGAGGGGGAGGAAGGCATTTTTTATAAAAAGCATAACTTTCAAAATGTGGGCCCAAAGAAACAGGATATATCAAATAAGCATTCATTTCCTGGACATTGACGATTTTAAAAATTCCACGTCTAGGCAAATGCCTCCTTAGGGGCTCCTATTCTGTTTCTTTAGAAGGGAAAGTAACTTCTTTTTGTTTCGAAAAGAGTTACTTTCTGAAAGGACTTTGCAACCAGGAAGATTTCAGTGAACTGGGCTTCAGGTGCCCTCGGGGGGCGGGGTGGGGAGAGAAAGACGCGCCTGGTGAAATACCCGCGCCGGAGAGAGCGCATCCCCAGAGGCCCTGCGGCTCTCCAACCGCTGAGCAGACTTTCCCCCACCCCCTCGAGAAAACTGCTTTCCGAGCCGCTTCGGGAAAAGTCACTCTGCGAGTGTGAAGGATGTCTTTTCCCCGCGGCTGCTCCCCAGCCCCAGCTGTGGCTTTCCCATCACAGGAGGGAGGGGCTCCAAACAGACACACCTTGTTCCACGGTCCCTTTACTTGGTTCATCTTTGCTCCAGCTTCTCGTTTCCATACCATCATTTCAGAGCTGCTTTGGCGCGTTCTGCCTGCAATCCCCACCGTCTCGGGGCTGGGGGGGTGAGGTTCCAGGGACGCTCTGGGAGGTTCCCAAGCCAAACTCTCGGTAGCCGCTGCGACGCAGAACTTCGGAGTCTACCCTCCGCTCTGCACCAGCGACCTCCGCGCGTTTGGCGAGCGGCACCCGCCCCCTACCCGGCCCCTACCTTCGGGCTGCGGGCGACCCCTCTCCCAACCCCTCCCCCTGAATCCACTTCTGCCTCCTGGGGCGTTGGCCACTCCTGAGCTCAGTCTGTCTGACCCTCAGCACCTACGCTTTAAGGTCCAAATTCAGCAAGTCTGGGCCAACCGAAGAGTTTGGAAACAAGCCGAGTAAAGGGAGCCTGTTTTCCTGTCCAGTGCTCTCGGGTTCACGTGGCGACTCCCCCTCGCCCTGTGCGCGGAAACATCTCCGGGCCTGCGCTCGTTCCTTTATTCGAGCAGGCCAACCGACGCCGTCGGGGCGCCAGGCTGAGCCTCCTGTGCGGCCGGCGGGGCTCTCCCGGCGCGGGAGACGCGGGTTTTCTTCCCCGCCTTTGCCCGGGCCGCACGGGCGCCGCCTGCAGCGCGGGTGACTGCGGCCGAACCCGGCTCGAGCCGGCCCCAAGATCCTAATTTTTGCCTAATAAAACTATATCGAGCCATGAATTTTTAAGAAAAGCGCCGATTTAGTGGAAGAGTAAGTTAAACGTTGTTCTGCAACCGAACGTGGCGTTTCGGGGCCCCCGGCCGCAAGCGCGGCGACCGCGTGGAGAGGCCGGGCCCTGAGCGGGGCCCGCGCGAAGCCCTGAGGACGACGAGAACCTGCCGAGCCCCCCTGCTGGGCCGGCTGGCGGGTCCCCGGAGTCGTGGTGGCGCCGCAGCCCCCTAGGCAGG